CGCCAAGGCCTCATTGGTCTTGGTGCGGAGGGCGTTGGCCTGCGCCCGCTGGAGACACACGCTCCAGCGCTGGCGGTACTCCGTCAGCAGCTTCGCTGCTTCGTAGGAGGTAGGTGCTGCGTTAAAACGCAGCTTCGCCGCCAGCTCCGCGCATTGCTGCAGGTAAGCCATCACCCCTGGCGAGGGGTAGCCGTAGGTTTCTACTGCAAGCGCGTGGAACCCCACCCACGCGTTCCGACGAGCGTACTTCTCCTCCTTTTTTGCCGCTGCCGCCCTAGCCGCCCATCCAGGAGCTCGGTTGCAGTTCTCCACCTGGTAAGACACTGGGTCCGTCACGGTCACGTCGCACATCCAAACCTCTCCAGTTAGGGGATGACGGATGGTGACATCCGCCTTTAGGTTTCCAACCAGAGAGTAGACATACGTCTCTCTCTCTCTCTCTCTCTCTCTCTCTCACGGCCCATCGTATTAATATCACCAAGGTACACACAAGGTAAGGCAACATCTACACACAGCCAAGCTACAGCAGCAATCTACTATCCTAGCACAACTAAAACCGCCCCTTCCCCTTCCGGCCCTAGTAGCCGGAGGGGTCTTCAATCAGTTGGTACAGCTGGCCCTCGCTCAGTGGAGTAAACGGGCCCTGCAGGCCTAGCACATCCGCGGTAAGAGCCTCATGGGTCTTATCCCTGAGGGCGTTGGCTTGGGCTCTCTGCAGGGTCACGCTCCATCGCTGCCGGTACTCGGTAAGTAGCTTAGCGACCTCCCTCGACTTTGGAGCAGCGTTGAACCGCCGCTTGCCCGCTAGCTCCGCGCAGCTGCAGAGGAAATCAAGGACTCCAGGTGAGGGGTAGCCGTATGTCTCTACAGCCATGGCGTAAAAGCCCACCCAAGCGCTCTGCCCGGCGTATTTGCTCTCCTTCTTGTCCGCTTGCATCTTTGCCGCCCATCCGGATGCCTTACGGGCCTGCTCATCCTGGTGGGAGACGTGGTCTGTGACTGTGATGTCACAAATCCATACCTCACCAGTGTCGAGATGGCGGATAGAGATATCCGCTTTGAGGTTTTCGACCGGTGAGTATGCCGTCGTCTCCTTGTGCACTGTGAAGCCTGCTTCAGCTGCTATCTTCGCGCACTCGTCCCGCAGGGCATGGTGAGTGGCAATTCTCCCCCCCCCTTTCTCACACCGCATCAGGTGATTCGGCAAGCGGTCGTCAGGGAAGGTGGTACGGTATCTGCAGTTGCAACGTCTTGGCACAGGTAAGGGCAGGCCCAGGCGGAAGGAGGCCGCCGTGGAAAACTGAGAGGGCCCGAGGCGGAGGGAAGAGATTAAGGGGACAGCGTGCAACCAGTCCCCCGCCCCAGGGCCTAGGAGGGACTGCAGCCTCTGCGTATGGCCGGACAGCGGGTTCAGCTCCATGTCCCGCGAGCTATCTAGTAGCCTAATGTACCCGAATGTGTGTACCGCGAGGGAGAGTGCCTGTTGGAGCTTGGGGCCGTTAGGCTTTTGCCTCCCCACTTGGAGAGCCTCAATCCTGTCAGGCAGCAGCTCGGCTTCCAAGGCAGCTAGGCGTCTCGGGAGGAGGGAGGTGGACTCCCTGTCAGCATCCATCAGCGGCAGGAGTCCTGTGAGAGCCGGGTTTGCTGAGTCGCCGAAAGAGCGCAGCAGGTGGGCCGCAGAAACGACTGATGCCAGGTAAGCAAATCCCCCCTCCGCTGCAGGGTTTGTGATGCCGAGGCCTCCCAGAGACGCGGGCAGGGCGGCCTCCTGCCAGATTCTGTCCCTCTCTGCCCGGTCCCTGGGGATCGTTGTGTGTGCGGCAGCCAGGTAGGTGTGGAGCAGATCTTCCCCCCAGGCGGACCATTCCCCTAGCGGTAGGGACTCGAGCGGTGTGGCTCTGACCAGGAACGAGGCGCGGCGACTCACACAGCGGGTGAGCAGTAGCAGGCATAGCTGCGGTTCCATCTGTGAGAGGAGCGGTAGCGGCTCGGCTGCTGCAAATAGGCGTTCGCGCACTCGAGCAGCACAGTCGGTAGGTGGCCCAATGGGGCTGCCTAAGACGCGGACACCGTCCAAGGCGGTGGCGAATCATGCTTCGCACTTCGCCGGGTTGTGAGCCAAGCCGTGGCTGAGGAGGGCCTCTGTGAGGTGAGTGAAGGCCGCCGTGCAGTTCGCCGCCTCGCCTAGCACGGTGATGTCATCTGCGTACGCGAGAAGCACCACCTCCGGATGAGCCGCTGCCGTGGCCACGAGACATGGGTGGATGCTGGTTGCGAATAGCATGGGTCTAGAGGATCTCCCTGGAGCGGGATGAAGTGCTCGCGCGCCGCGGGAGCGGCTAGGAAAAGAGCCGCCTTGGCGATGAGGCGTAGCAGACATTCACCCACAGCTATCGGTCTCGTTCCGCCCTGTGGTTTCGAGAAAGCTAGTAGTCGCGACGTTGTGAGGAGATCTGCCGCCTCTGCGCTCGGTTTTCCTGCTAGCGCCGTGTTGGTGAGTGCGTGTAGCTGCACTAAGAGGTTGGCGTTCCCGAGTGCCGCATCTCTCAGGTGCTCGAAGGTGGTTCCTGAGGACCCGGCTCCTACACCGTTCGGGCATCTAGCTAGCAAAGGCCTGAAGTCACGGGCTGTGATTGAAGGTAGTCTCAGAGGCGAAGTCGTGCACCCAGTCCGGTATGGCAAGGGTGGCCTCTGGATGCCTGACCGTGAGTGCACTAAGGACTTCAGCGCTCGGCGTGCAGACGGGCGTGGCAGTCAGGGCTTGGATAGATTTTGCCAGGTTTCCTCTTTTGGCCAACCCCTCGGCCCTCGCCAGCTTGCCCGTGGTGTCAGGTACGTGACGTGGTTGGGGGTTGTTGGTGACTGCGTCCGCTGCCTCGTTATACAGTTCACGCCACAGGCCTTGGCGAAATCTCGTCAGTCTGTCGCCCATGGCCTTCCAGTCGGGTTTGTGGGCTGACGAGGAGCGCAGCAGGATACGCGGGAGAAACATCAGCAGCTTCCAACCAGGTGACGAGTCAGGATTTTTCGCCAGGTGGAGTAGTGGGGTCAGCAGACAGATTGCGAAGGATTCGCGAAGTGGGCGGGGTGGGTGGCGGGCGAGGGGTGGCTGTCTGCTGTCGCGCAGGGGGCACAAGTCCCAGTTGGCGATGTCCGCGAAGAGGTCTTGACGGCCGGCCAGGTCGTCAGCGCTGACGATTGGTGCAGGGGTGTCGGGGGTAGTGGTAACCCCAGTGTTGGTGGCGCCTCGTTTTCCCCTCGCGGCCCGATTTTGAGGGGTTCGAATTGCAGATGCGGTTCGGCCCCCAGTTGGAATTTCACCCACTCCTTGGGCTGGGTCAACCTCTTCTTCCTCTGTCGAGGGACTTGAACTCCCCTCCCTTTCGGGGATAAAGGAGGGGTCACCCGCTGAGCCATTCCCAGAATCGTCACCAAGTGTCTCCCCTCCCTCCCTAGCTCTCTGCCGCAGGACCCGCTGTGCTGCTCTAGCGAAGCTACTTGCGCCTCTTCTCTGAGTCGTGGAGCCGTGCCCATGTCCGCGGCGGATGCTGCCTCGTCCCACACGAATTCCCCGCGTTTCTCTTCCTCTTGCCGCCCCTGCGCGCCTTGTTGGAGGATCGGCGGCGACATCGCTCACTCTTTGACTGTGCGCTGGCGTCGGCGGCAGTGGTATCGGGCGTAATGGATCCGACCGCGGGTCACGATCCTGCGCTGGAGGGTACAGCGGAGAGCGCGCAGCAGGAGCAGCAGCCTGCCGATCCTCGTCCACGTGTCCCCGCGACCCCTCCGCAAGTGAGCCCTTCCGCCACTTGTGGGCTCTCTCTTCCTCTTCGTGGAGTCCCACGGCCCACCTCACCAGAGTACTCGTGGGCTCCTGCTCAGGTCGCGTCAAACCGCCTTGCTGGCCAGCCGGATCAGGGGCGCGGACGTTCCCCGCAGCGTCAGCCTCCGCTGCAGCGATCTCCTCGTCGCCGTTCTCCTGAGCGACGCGAACCTCCTCGTAACGGAGCGGGCGACCAGCGATCTCCAGCGCGCCATCGCTCCCGCCAGCACCACTCTCCTCAGCATCATCCTGTTGGGCGCGGGGGTAAAAATAGGCATTCGCCGCGAGCGCGGGGGAGGGGATCTCCTGGGCGCCGCTGGGATTTTGCTCGCCGCGAGCCGTCCCCGCCACGTCCGCAGTCGATTGGGTCTGGAGGCCGTCGCGGTCGGCGGAATGGCCCTGGGCGCGGCAGTAACAGCCGCGGTCAGGACTCCGCTGTCGAACATGCAGTGAACGTTTTGGCAGCGGCGGTGCGGCACGCGCAGGCGGGAGGGGAGCTGGCTCACGTACACATCGCCGTAACCAAAGGGCCTCCCGTTGCCCCGGATCCCATGCGCGCACCGACTTTGATCGAGTATCTGCCCGCGCGAGGGGGGAGGGCGCTGTTCCGCACCCCTCGACAGGCCCCAGGCTTCTCCGCTCCGCAATTCCCGTTTGGCCATGCCCCCGGCCAGTTGACGGCGTTTCCACGCGAAGCTTCGACTGCACCTCCCCCCACCCGCGCAGGGAGAGATCCCATGCTAACCATGTGCCGCTTGTTGAATCTTGCGGAGGCGTGCGAGGGGGTGGCGAGTTTGCAGATGTCGGTGTGTGGGGCCATGCGGAACACTCCGAGCAGTTACGCTCCAGGTCCCCGAGGATCGTGCGTTTTTTGGGCAGAAGCTCTCGTCCCGCTCTTGGCGCCCATGTTGGAAGCGCCCGCCGGGGTAGCGCCCTTAGCGCGTACTTTCTCTCTCTCTCTCTCTCTCTCTCTCTCTCTCTCTCTCTCTCTCTCTCTCTCTCTCTCTCTCTCTCTCTCTCTCTCTCTCTCACCATGAGCTGTTCCCGCGCGCTCAGAACCTTTGCAGTGCACATTTTAACAACAGCCATATGGATCTCTCTCCCACCCTCAGTCGCCCTTCCACCATCGGCTGTCTCCACCAGCACTCCCTCCCATCCCAGCAGCCCAAGCACTTACCATCAGTTGTTCCCGCGCGCTCAGAACCTTAGCAGCGCACATCTTAACCGCCACAGGGATCTCCCCGTCAGAAACCGCGCTCAGGTCCACGCCCAATGACTCTGCAGCTTCCGCACCGCTCTCCACCTTGAGGAACCCCTTGTACACCGCTCCGAACCCCCCCTCGCCGAGCTTGTGCTTGAAGTTGTCGGTAGCGGCGCTCAGCTCCGCTTTTGTGTACATGGGGGGCGCGCCGTCCCCCCCCAGGGGCTTTAAGTCCGGGTGGGGCGCCGCGGGCTTTTCCTCTGCGCGCGTGGCGGGGAAAGTGGGCGGAGGGGGAGGGGGGAAGCGGGGGAAAAAGGGACGGGGAATGGGGGAGCGGAAGAGGGGGGTTGGGGCGTAAAGTGTGTGGGGGAGCGACAGGGGGAACGAGCAGTGTGGGTAAGTGCGGTGGGGGGAAATGTGGTTCGGCGGAAGGTAGAGAAAGGGAGAAAGGTGGGAGATGAGATGCATTGTGCTTGACATTGCGATATGATGTTGTGTTCGCTTATCTTTGCATTCAACTTCGTTACTACCTACGCAGACTTAAAGGACACTGAAAAAAGGAATAAGAATAAGCAACAATTACATAAACTTGTATGTATAGCAGGATTACAGCAAATGATAACGGGTCCACGCACTTTTAATGCTGTTGCCAATATTCTTCATCATCTTTCCGAAGGACTTCATGGCGCCAAAACACGCCAAAACGACCCGAGCTACTTTTGTGTCGTGTATATTTAGAAAAAAAAAAAAGAGGAACCAAAGGCGGCCCGAGTCGTTTCTGTAGTGTAGTCGAAACCGTGCTTTCGAAGCGCCTTAGAAGCGGGAATGTAGAATGTAATCCGAACGAAGCAAGCTTCGGCACTCGCCGCGCGTGACAAGCGCGGTAGACCCAGCGCGGAAAGCTACTGGACTAATTGTCGCTCTGAAATTTGTGGCTCTCATAACACTAGAAGCTGTAGGACTGGAGAAGCTGTCAGTCACTGGTCACCCTTCCATCGAGCAGTGGTGGAATGTGGACGGCGCCAGAGCCCGACTTTGAGAGAGGTTGTAAACGGTAATCTATATCTGAGTAGGTTATCCTACGGTTAAAAAACGGTGAGCATCCGGGAGAAGTGATCACGCGCTGGATGGATATCACAATCTGCACACCCCCTGTCATGGATTTCGTTTCTAGGAACCCTGATGCATCGGGTCTCCACGGGAAATTCTTGAAATACCAAATATCTGGACAATTCACCTTGTAGGACCTTAGCATTTGGTGATTCCGCAATCGAAAAGTTCGAGCGTTCCAGACCATTAGTTAGGTTTGGGGCAGCCAGGACTCACTGTTGCGAACAAAACAGTAGGATTACGGGTGTGTGCAGTATGTGCCCTCCAAAATTTGGGACGGAGACAGCTGCCCAGTGCACGTACAGTGCAGTGTCAAACTGTGAACGTGCATGTTTCCCAACCAACGTCAGAATCGCAGTTGGTGCATATCCCGCTGAGAGATGTTCCACGGGCGACACGGTTGACTCTGCCTTTTAAATTGCTCGTACGTAATTACGACAGCATTGCAAGCCAATATCTTTTGTGGCCTAATTAGAAAAATGAAAAGAAACAAACGTCCAGACAGGCTAATGGTGCAAACGTCTGACAGGCTAATGTTGAGTTTTCTCTACTCCAGCCGCACTTTCCCTCGCTTTCTTAAGCTTCCCAATCAATTGGTCCATTTTAGGCCGGTTCGCCCAATCAGTGCACACAGCCAACCGGAAAATCTTTAGCACCAACCTTACATGCTCCTCAGACCATTGCCCGGCAATGGTTTTATCCATCACCACCCTCTTAAGCTTCTCTAGCGGTATTAGGCGCTCCTCTGCTGCCACTCTGATCGCCTTAAAGCCGTTCTCCTCCGCACATTCGCCTGACATGAGCTCTAGAAGGAAGATGCCGAACGCATATGTGTCACAATGGTTGGTGAGAAACCCTGGGGTTGAGGTCGGGGTGGTGAGTAGGGAGGGTGAGGGGAAGGAAGAAAACATTTGAAAGTCGGTGGAGTGGAATAAACAGCAGTGATCCATTGAACACGAGGGGTAGCAATCACCAGTGGAGAAGTGGTTGGGGTCAATGTACCCCTGAGAGAGCCCTTGTGAAGTGAGATGCCTCATAAGCCCTCTAGAGTCTAGGCCTTGTGGGGAATCTCATAAGCAATCCCACACGAGTGGTAGCACTCACCAGTGGAGAAGTGGTTGGGGTCGATGTACCCATGAGAGGCCTTGTGACGCGCCTCAAAAGCCCTCTTGACGCACTGAAAAGCCCTCTTTGAAGCTTCAAAACTCAGACACGAGTGGCAGCACTCACCAGTGGAGAAGTAATTGGGGTCTGAGAGGCCTTTTGATGCGAGGTGCCTCATAAGCCCTTACGAAGTGCTTCGGTACTTGACCACGAATGGCAGCACTCACCAGTGGAGAAGTAATTGGGGTCTGAGAGGCCTTTTGATGCGAGGTGCCTCATAAGCCCTTATGAAGTGCTTCAGAACTTGACCACGAATGGCAGCACTCACCAGTGGAGAAGTAATTGGGGTCGATGTAGCCCTGAGAGCCGCCCACTCGCGTCGTGACATGTGTCTTCCAGTCCTCTACCAGCCGCGCCATTCCAAAGTCCGCCACCTTTGGCACCATGCCCTGGTAGGGGCCGCGAGGGAAGGGAGGGCAGCAGCAGCAGCAGGGGGAGGCGAGTACGGAGCGCAGTGAGGCATGAGCAGGAAGAGCAGAAAGGTTGTCTTCCAGTGCTCTACCAGCCGCGCCATTCCAAAGTCCGCCACCTTTGGCACCATGCCCTGGAGCGGGGAAAGAGGGCAGCAGAGGGGCAGGGATGAAGTGGCAGGAAGGAAGGGGTTGAGGATGGATGGACCCAAGCACGCTAGGGTGCCTCAAAACACCTGATTGATGAGTACTCGCCCCACGGTCCCACTACAGGTCCATGACCGTGCCTTTTGAGGCACCTCAAAGGTCAGCTAAGGTGCCCCAACACGCCTGATCGACCAGTACTCGTGCCACGGTCCTACTACAGATCCATGACCATGCCCATTTCAGCCCTCCGTTGCCACACCCCCCACCCACCTCCGCCAGCAGCACATTAGCAGCCTTGAAGTCGCGGTGAATGTACCCTTTGCTGTGGATGGAAACCAGCACTCCTAAGCAAATCAACACCCCGGATCCCTCAATCCACTTCCACCACACACCACCGCACAACAACCCACACGCACCTCAGCCAGTAACACACTGGCAGCCATGAAGTCGCGGTGAATGCACCCCTTGCTGTGAATGAACACCAGCGCTCCTAGGTGTCTCAACACCCGTGATCCCTCATTCCACTTCCACCGCACTCCACCGCACAACAACCCACACGCACCTCAGCCAGTAACACATTGGCAGCCATGAAGTCGCGGTGAATGTACCCCTTGCTGTGAATGAACACCAGCGCTCCTAGGTGTCTCAACACCCGTGATCCCTCATTCCACTTCCACCGCACTCCACCGAACAACAACCTACACCCACCTCAGCCAATAACACATTTGCAGCTTTAAAGTCGCGGTGAATGTACCCCTTGCTGTGAATGAACACCAGCGCCTCCCCCACCTGCTCCGCCAGCACCATCCTGGCCGTCCAGTCAAACGAATCTCTCCTTTCGCGCACTGCAGAGCGGGTTGGGGAAAAGGGAGGACACAAGGGGGGGGAGCGATGGAGGAAGGGTTGTGATTCAGACGCCACGCCACGCCTGTGGTCGCAGAGAGGGGGAGGGAGGGAGGCTCTATTCTGCTCTGTGCTGCACTCATCTCTCATTACACTCACCTCTCGCCTTCCCCACCCCTCGGAATACTCACCTCTCTCCAGCAGCAAGTCTACGTCACCTCTCCATAGTGACAGTGCAAAACTTACTTCTACATACACTCACCTCTCCATACACTCACCTCTCCATAGTGACAGTGCTAAACTCACCTCTCCTCGCACTCACCTCGCTCCAGCTGCAGGTCAACGTCTCCGTGTGGCACAAACTCAGACACCATGGCGAGGAAGGGTGTCTCCTCCTCCCAGCTCTATCCTGTGAGGTGCCTACAGCCCCAGTAACCGCGCATAGTGCTTCACTCAAATCTCACACCACTCACCTTTCACCACGCTCACCTCTCTCCAGCAGTAAATCAACGTCCCCGTGTGGCACAAACTCAGACACCATGGCTAGCGTCTCTCCCAGAGCTCGCATGTGATATACCTGCTGCCCCCCCTCCACGCGCATAGTGCTTTGCTCACCTCTCTCACTCAACCCACCTCTCTCCAGCAGTAAGTCAACGTCCCCATTGGGCACAAACTCAGACACCATGGCGAGCGTCTCTCCCAGAGTGGCCACCCCCAGCAGCCTGAGGATGTACGGATGCTGCACTGCCGTCATCACCATCACCTCCGTCTGTAGCAGTATCATAGTATGGGGTGATGGGAAGGGGTGGGAAGAGATGGAATGCGATGGGGGTCTGCGTCACCCGCCGAAGCAGGCTTGAGCGTGTCTCCCAGAGTGGCCACCCCCAGCAGCCTGAGGATGTACGGATGCTGTACCGCTGTCATCACCATCACCTCCGTCTGTGGGATGGGAAGGGGTGCGAAGGGGTGGAAAGGGGTGAAAGTGATGGGGTACAGTGGAATGGGGTTTGAGTCACCCTCTGAAACAGGCTTGAGTGGCCAGTGGCCACTCCTAGCAGCCTGAGAATGTACGGGTGCTGCACTGCCATCATCACCATCACCTGTCTGTGAGAAAGAGCATAGCAGCAGCGGAACAGGCATAGGGAAGGGAAGGGAAGGGTAGGGATGGGAAGGGATGGGTAGGGATGGGTAGGGATGGGAAGGGATGGGAAGGGATGGGTAGGGATGGGTAGGGATGGGAAGGGATGGGAAGGGATGGGATGGATGGGGTGAGAATCACCCCGTGAAGAAAGGGCTTGAATGCCCCAGCAGCACCCCGTCCAGTACCGCTGTCATCCCCATTACCACCGTCTGTGACATGGGGAGCGTGAAGTGGAGGGGGTGGGGTGGAGCGGAGGGGGTCACCGCACCATACTCCACAGCACAGCGTCGCACAGCACCACTCAGCACCGCACAGAACTCACCATGAGCTGCTCCCTGCCGCTGCCTTTGGTCCCACTCGTGCACATCTTCACAGCTACAGAAATCCACCCCCCTCTCCCCCACCACCAGCACTCCTGCTACTCCCACAACCATGATCACCTCACCGCACCACACCGCACCACACTGTACCACAGCGCTTACCACCGATCAGCACCGTATTGCACTCACCATGAGCTGCTCCCTGCCACTGTCTTTGATCCCACTCGTGCACATCTTCACAGCCACCGGAACCAGCACCTCCCCTCCCTCTCCCCCCTCTCCACCTGCTCCACCCTCTCCCCCACCACCAGCGCCCACACTATTCCCAACACTGCCACTCTTCCCATTGCTGCTGCTGCTGCTAATGCCGCCAATGTGGCTACTACCGTCACTCCGCAGGTACCCTTTATAGACAGTCCCGAAACCCCCTTCGCCGATTTTCTGTGTCCAGTTGCTTGTGGCAGCGGTAAGCTCTTCCCGGGTGTAGTGTGGCAGTGCCCCGTCTGGCCCCACGGGCTTCATAAGCGGATACGCCCCTGCGGATGGCTTCTTCTCTGCAGTAGGGGATGGGGAAGGACAGAGAATACAAGGAGGGACGGGTTGAGACGTGCTTGGGGCTGCGGTGGGCTCTTCCCGGGTGTAGTGAGGCAGGGCTCCGTCCGGCCCCACAGGCTTCATAAGGGGGTACGCCCCTGCGAATGGCTTCGTCTCTGCCATGAGGGACGAGGAAGGACGAAGACGGGGAATAACAGGGTGAGGTGTGGTAGTAGGAGCTACGTCAATCTCTTCCCAGGTGTAGTGAGGCAGGGCACCGTCCGGCCCCACAGGCTTCATAAGCGGATACGCCCCTGCGGATGGCTTCTTCTCTGCAGTAGGGGATGGGGAAGCACAGAGAATACAAGGGGGGACAGGGTGAGACGTGCTAGGGGCTGTGCCAAGCTCGTCCCACCCCACTGGTGTAGTGTGACAGGGCTCCGTCCGGCCCCACGGGCTTCATAAGGGGATACGCCCCTGCGGACGGCTTATCACACCGCTCACTCTCACACCACTCACTCTCACACCACTCACTCCCACACCATTCACTCACACCTTTCATTCGCACACCGCTCACGCTCGCACCACTCCCTCTCACGCCACTCCCTCTCACACCGTTCCCTCTCACACCACTCCGTCTCACACTCACTCACACACAGTCACATCGCTCACACAACCATTCACTCCCACTACCACTCTCACCCACTCACTTTCACCAACCAACCCACACACCATTCACTAGCAGCACTCACTCTGAACGAAACAAGTAGATTTTTGAGACGTCTCAGAAATCTACTTGTTTCACGTGACTTTCACCAACCCACCCACACACCATTCACTAGCAGCACTCACTCTGTACGAACCGTTTGAACGCTCCACGAAACGACATGCCGTCTAAGCACATGAAACGCGAATCTCGGAACCGCGAAGCACCGGTCAGAACCGTAGCCCTACAAGAAAGGGTTCGCCAGCTCGAAATACGGCCCTGATATGCCACGTGGCTCCCCTGGCGTCGACCAGCCGCTGAAGCACATCCGTCAACCAATGATACCGCGAAGAACCGGTCAGGACCGAGACCAAACTACTAACGCCGTAAGGTAGAGTATCACCGTGGTAGGCCTACTGATCAGGGAGGTCACTCGTGAGCGAGGTGCCGGCTGTGAGTGAAATGAGGCTCTGGCTGGCCTCGGTAATGAAACGACGCTGATATCTAGTTTTGAGGCGCCTCAAAACTAGATGCCGGCCGTTAGTGAAATGAGGCTCTGGCTGACCTCGGGAATGACACGACGGAGATGTCGAGATGGATGCTTAAAGCACATGCAATGGGAATGACAGAGAAGCGAACGGCCCCGAACCGAAATCACGATACTGGTTCTCGCTTGCTAACCAGGATGCTTCATCTCCACTCTACTCGCGAAGCAGCGCATACGGCAAACGGATATTTTTGTGACGGAAGCTGAGAAATGTGCTGCAGCTATGCCGCTGCTTGGTGCTGACGAACGCCTCCCCCGTGATGTCTATGTCAGGTCAGGAGGATTGACGGGACGGGACGAATTTTTTTCACTACACCTACAGTGGCTTGACGGAAAACGTGTCCAGAATACACCTGCGCACTTTCGTGTGGAGGGTGAAATTTGACGACCAATCAACCAACTCAGGGTTCCACGACACATCACACCAGACCCGTCTGGTGGGGTGTGCTTTTAGAGTGCTTCGTTTGTAAGGCGTGTGTGATTTTATTTTCGGTATAAGTTTGCGTTTTTTAAATCGAATGTAGCATTTGAACGTGAGGTGAACAAAATTCGACTCTGGTTGATGGCAAAGTTCGACCCGCGCGTCTCGCAAACGGTTGAAGCACAAACACACACCCGAGTTCGATTTTGCACGTTCGACATTATAGTGGGTGAGACGAGCCGCCCGTAGGTTATTTAGGTTACCTGGTTTCGTCTAGCTCTGCGAGACGAACTGTTTACCTGGTTTCAGTGGTGCGTTCATTGGTGCACGAACAAATCGCGCAGCTCGTCAACTTCTCTTTCGTGCCCAAACATGTTCGGTTCATCGTGCACTCTCACGTTCGTGTTCGAGCCTTGTTCACTTTTCGTTGGTCGCATTTGTGCATTTCGCCAACCGTTTCGACGAAAGTGGCGAACAAAGTAACGAACTTAAATAATTTCTCGCTTGAAGTTTCATGCATGCTTCCACTCTATTAGCTGATCGCGAGTCGCCCTTTAGCTGTTTTTTCGACCCATATCTTTGGATGAAGCTACCGTATATCAGGATCTGCCGCCAAATCCGGCCAGATAAGATTGAATAAGAGTAGCGAACAGTAGCATAACGTCGCAACACCGTTTCCGTCTCATCATCACACTTCTGTCTAAACCTTCCTCACACCATTTCCGCCCCACTTTTTCGCACCCCAAGTTAATCCATGGCGAATTCTCTCTAATTGCAAACCGTCCCTCCTGTGCCTTTTCCTGTGCAAAGAATCTAAATTGAGACTGGATGAAGCCGAAGCGTTCTTATCTGTTGCGTCTTAAAATTCTATAACATAATTCCTAACCCGCTTGTTTCACCCCTACCCCTCCGATTCTATCAGGCCGGGAGGTGGACAGCCCCCCTCTCCGCGTGTGGTCCTTCCTGCTGGGCGGCAGTGACGTGGAGCGCGTACCTGGCGACCCCGCATTGGCTGACGAGCCCACCGCTGACGTCACCACCAAGGCTCTGTACGACGAGATCGCGTTCGAGAATCTTCCAGGAGGCGTGTGGACGCAGGTGGGTGGATGGATCGGGCATGCAGATTTGGGTCCTTGTATTGGCTTCAGGTGGGTGCGTGTAGCGGTGATTCCTTTCATTGGGCGGCGTGGTGTGTCTTTTTTGGGAGGGGGAGAGGAGGGAGGGTGGGTAGGTTTCTCGAGTATACCGGGCACGAGTGGGACGAGGAGCCGTTGCGATGCGAGTGCTGCTGGTGATGCCGCACTCCCACAACGACCTTGGCTGGCTGTTGAGGCGCTCATAACATGTCTGTCTGTGTCGCTTCATTGGTTTCCCCACAGGGTTTCCCCCTGGAGTACACAGGGCACGAGTGGGACGAGGAGCCATTGCGAGTGCTGGTGGTGCCCCATTCCCATAACGATCACAGCTGGCTGTTGAGGTGCCTTGAAACCTGTCTGTCTGTGTCGCTTCATTGGTTTCCCCACAGGGTTTCCCCCTGGAGTACACAGGGCACGAGTGGGATGAGGAGCCATTGCGAGTGCTGGTGGTGCCGCACTCCCACAACGACCCCGGCTGGCTAGAGACGGTGGAGGAGTATTACAAGTCGAGCACCCGTGGCATCATTGACACCATCGTCAACGCCCTCTCCGAGGTGTGCTTATAACGAGTATGCTTGAAGTGAATATTGAGTCGGCTCGGAATACACCACACCACAACGACCTGGGCTGGCTGGAGACGGTGGAGGAGTATTACAAGTCGAGCACTCGCGGCATCATTGACACCATCGTCAACGACCTCTCCAAGGTGTGCTTATAACGAGTATCCTCTATGTGAGTGTGCTTGTAGTGAGGATGCTTGGTGTGGTTCAGTTCAGCATTGGTGCAGGAAGTAAGCCTGGTTGTTGCTTATGCCTGGACTGGTGGTTACCCCCTTCCCTAAAGCTCGGGCTGAAGCAGTCGCCGCTGCTGTGGTACAGTGCACTCGACGGTGTGCTGCTGGGCGCTGGCTGGAATAAGAGCCAGGTCGACGAGGTGCTCTACTTCAAGGCCAGCGACAACGAAGTGACCTGCTAGGTGCTGGCCTATGTCGACGACCTGCTCGCCGCCAGCAGCAGCCCTACGATGCTGAAGGAGCTAAAGGAGCTGCTGTAGGCTGCCTTCGAGCTGCGCGAGATTTCGCCGGCCGTCAAGTACCTCGGGCTGGAGATCGTGCGCGACAGACCAGCGAGGAAGTTGTGGCTTCACCAGCAGGGCTACGCCGACAAGCTGCGCAGGCGCCTCATCGACAAGGAGCAGGGCGGTCGAGTCCCGAAGACGCCGGTCTCGGTCAATGCCTACGCCGAGCTGACATTCGACGACGAGGAGGCGCAGGAGCGTGAGGAGGAGGAGTATCGGCAGAAGGTTGGCTCGCTGCAGTTCGCGGCAACGACGACGAGGCCGGACATCGCGTTCGCCTGCAGCAAGCTGGGGAGCGGCCTCACGGTGAGGAGCGACCAGCATTGGCGCGAGGTCGACCGCTGCCTCGCCTACCTTGCTGACACCCGCGACACCGCCTTGGAGTTCGGCGGTGGACCAGAGTCGCTGGAGCTGATCGGCTACGTAGATGCCGACGATGCGGGCGACAAGCAGAAGCGAACGAGCACGGGCGGCTACGTGCTCGTCTACGGAGGGGCCGCCATCTCCTGGTCGAGCTCGCGCATCAAGTGCGCGACATTGTCGTCGACAGAGTCGGAGTACGTGGCGGCCACTGATGCTGGCAAGGAGGGACGCCGACTTTGTTTCCTTCTTGCGGAATTCAAGCTATTCGACAGTGGGAAGCCGACCATCCTCCGCGTCGACAACAAGTCGGCAATTACGATCGGTGAGGGCTTGGGGCTGACGGGCAACCTCAAGCACATGGAGCGATGCTATGCCTGGCTGCAGCACATGGTGAGGCGCGGGAAGTTCGTACTAAAGTACATCCCAACCACCGAGCAGCTGGCAGACTTCCTGACGAAGGCACTACATTCTCCGGCTTTCAACCGGTGCTCTGTCGCCATCGGCCAAGTTCATCTGGCCGACGTCGGCGACAGCGACGATGATGTGCAGCAGTAGGTGCCGTGCCCTTCTACGCGGTTGGTGCGGTGACGGCGTGCTGTGTGTGGGGTGCACGCCGAGGATGAGTTTTCTCCGTAGTGTGCTGCTGTGTGGGCTGGGGGCCTAAGCGTGAGTGCGGCAGGGGAGTGTTAACGGGAGTAGAGTGTTGGCCCCGCCCTCGCTTGGGCAACGCCGACGACTTGGTCGGATGTACGGTAGTAGCAACCGACCGTTCACAGTGGGAGAGCTGCTCGACAGGCTTCATCGAGCTGCAGGGGACCACTGTGGTGTTGCTGTCGACCAAGGCGCTCGACAGCTGCAACTGACTGGTCTGGGCGACGGGTGGGCCGTCGACCAGGAGGGGCAGTTCGACCGGGAGGTCGACGGAGCAGTCCATCGACCCGACAAGTGAGCAGCGGTCGACGAGGGAAGCTCGGCGACAACAGCTGACATTTCTGGTCGACGAAAGGGTTCCGTCGACCAGGGGGCAGCTCGACGGGAGCTGAGGTCGACCAGAGGGACCCGGTGGTCGACCAGAGGCACTTTGTGGTCGACTAGAGCACCTGGGGTTGCCCAGGTCGACCGGGTAACCTGCTCGGCGAGTTCTGCGGAGGCACGCGAACGTCGTCGAGGTCGCGATGGCAAAGGCGACTTCGGGTTGGTATCCCGAAGTCGATGTGGCTCGTCAGGCGCAGACAACAGCTGACGGATGCACAACGGTGCAAGTCGGGACAATCGTTTGCGCCCACCTACGAGCGAGCGCACTGCTGTCTTCTACGGGGCAACGCTGGACAGCCGCTCTGCTGCAGTGTTGGCACACCGTCGACCTGCTGTGTTGGCAGGTCGCCTTTCTGCAGTGCTGGCGCGGCTCCTCTACGCAACGCTGGCAGGCGGTCGACCATGCTGTGCTGTCGGTCGACCATGCTGTGCTGTCGGTCGACCATGCTATGCTGTCGGTCGACCAGGCTATTTGCAGAGTTGCTAGGTGCCTGATGTAGTCATTGTTGTCATTGCTTGTTCAACAATTCTGTAATTCCAACTTTGCTAGTGGAAACTCTTGCCCATTTCTCCTGTGATTGTGCAAGCTCTAAGGAACTAAGAAAAGCGACGATCACTCCTAGTAGTTCGTGCCAACCCCATAGTCTAGCTCAGTACCATTGTAGAGTGAATCTCCGCACAGCCTCCCTGCCCTCCTGCTCCTGCCCTCCCGCCCCACCCTCCTGCACAGCCGCCACGCCCTCCTGCTGCTGCCCTCCGACCCCACCCTCCTGCGCAGCCACCCCGCCCTCCTGCTACTGCACTCCTGTCCCAAAATCCTGCACAGCCGCCCCGCCCTCCTGCTCCTCGACAGCCCCATCGTCCCCCGTTGCCTGCTGCTCGATATGCTTCACCCGCTCGTCCACCCGCTCCCCAAGCGCCACTCCGTGCTCCTCCGTACGCTCCGTCCCACCTGGATGTTCTCGTGCGCCCTCGTCGTCGTGCTCGACCGACTCATCGCTCGAGCTCGATTCCGAGCTCGAGCCCTCCTGCTCGTTCGCATTGCTGCCCGGGCCGCTCACCCCGTGCTGAGCTTGCCTCGATGTATCCTCCTCGATCTCCTCCTCCATCCTTTTCCAAAACAGCTCGACCATGAACGACGGAAGCATACCCGGGCCAGGGCTCGTTCTCCCGAGACTCACGAGGTCGCCCTGTGGAGGCTGCAGGATGAAATTGTCCCAGTTCGACCGAATCCGGCGCACCCCATGCACGACATGATCTCCCGCGCCGGGTTCACTGGGGCTCGTCAGGGCCGTCGTCGTCTGCGATGGGTATAAAACACACATAAGCAACAGAATAACACGCTCGACGAAAACATGCACGAGTAAGGGTAAGGGTTGCCTTACCAGATGATCGAAACTCGTGATCATGTCCAGACGCCGGTCGATGAGGCTAAGCACCTCCTGCTCGTGCTCGGTCACAACCCGCTGGGTCATCGCGTACTCGGCGCGAAGCTGCCGCTTCATCCAACTACAAAGCAACAGACAGGAGAGTAAGATTGTCGAGAACGGCAAGTCGACGGCGCGAAGAACTGGCAAATCTGCCACTCACACGAGAACTTCATGCGCCAACGAAGATTGGTGGTTCACCGCGGGAACCTGTCTTTCAAATCGAAGTGCATCATTCGAGTTCGACAGCCACGGTGCCTCGGAGCCAGCAGATCGTCGGGGCGCGATACCACAAACAGGCTCGATTGGGAGAACGGTGCCACACTCAGGCTGCATGCAGAGCGAATGCACGTGAGCACGGGTTTAGGGCTAAACACGGAGCACTCAAGGCGACGGGAGAGTGTCGAACTCACGTGGTCCGCAGGAGAACAAGAACCACTTACTTGCCGAGCAGGCCGTCGAGGTGGTTGTTCGCAAAAGCGACCGGTGTGGGACGCGCCATCTCTTCATGCACACACGTCGAAGTCAAGATCGACAGCTTTGCGAGCTGCTCGACGGATAGCAGGTAAACAGAAACATAGCAAACCGAAAATGCTCGACAGGAAACGTATAGAACGCCCGCGTTTATCATCCTCTCGTCGAGGGCGCGTGTCGCTGGCGTCATCGGCAGCTGGCGCGAGCCGGGGGTGCCCGTTGGGGGGGTGCTTCGCTAGGCGACTGCGGGAAAACGGAAATCCCTCCAGGGAAAACCCACAGGGGCAAAAGCGGGTTTCCAGAGGGATCTCGCAGATATCTTCCCTTTCGATCAACCAAGAAACATGAAGCGGAACTTCCGCTAGCGAGTGCCAGAAGTCTGCGCAGGTCCAGCGGAGCGGGACAATGAACTTTGCGCATGCGAAACGTTATTTACGCTACCTGGTATTCGAGGGTACAGTTCTCGTTCCTCCTATTGACTACAGTAGTCGATTTCGTAGTAGTGTTACTTGCGAAACATTCTGACTTCGCGAAAGGTTGTCGCCCCAAAGCCCACGCTCCCCCTGTCAGATTTCCGCCAGTGCATGGCAGGCCGTTCCGCTTCCACAAGCCATTCTTCCTCGTCATTCTCTGAATGTCCGAAGCATCCTAGATTGAGAATCCTCGAACAAAAATTTCTCTGGATGCTGGATTCCTCATAGTTCCCTAGCTTAGCTCAATTCTGATTACGTGAAGCTCGCCAAGTCGTTGGTCCGACAGCGCACCATGGCTTCTAATCCAGCGACGCTTTATGCGGTTAGCCCAGAACAACCAATTTTCAGTTCAGGGAGGTCTAATGTTATTGTAACTGGACACCCTACCTTCCTGTAGGTTGCCATGGTTCCCATCACTCTCATCCCGTCAATCCAGCTCTTTTGCGAGTTACCTCTACTGTGTCTCAGCGGATGAGTCCGTCGTCGCTCCGTTTTGCGATTTACCTCTACTGAATCCTTCGTCTGCTGTAGCTGAACGGAGTAACCGTGACTCTCAGATCACTCCATCATGCTGGATTCCGTCCCTGCCTTGTCGTGAAGTAGCTTTATCATAATGCTACTTGCGTTCGCCATTTCAAACTTGTTTCCGATCTTCATGTTATTCTAGTACATCCGTCAAAAAAATCTACAGCAGCACACCTCTCAGCACCGTCAACACTGATATTACGAACGGCCGCTTCTGTTATTACGAGCACGCTTCAGAGGCTGCAGCGCCGTAATGTCACGGTGACAGCGATCCAAGCAGCCATATTTGGAGACGGAGATGTTTGTTGTACTCAAAGCTCCTCTAGTCGTGACGGGAACGCCGTGCAAGGCGTCTGAGGAGACGACGCTTGATTCGAGCAGCATACGTGAGGACGTGCGCTGTTCACATTACCTGATCAGCTGTTCACATGAGCTGCATGTCATCGTCTCGGCGGCGACCACCAAGTCTCATGTCGATTCGTCGTTGGAGTAGCATCTGGGCGCTGCGTCACAACGCAGCGTCACAACGCAGCGTCACGGCGTGCAACCCAAGTGCTCTTTTCCGAATCACTCAGCTTAGTGAAAGTGAGCTCTCAGCGTCACATCGAGCACTCCGTGTCGAGCGACGACGAGCGACGAGCGACGCACGACGAAGTACGCGAGTCGCGAGCGACAGCTGACGAGCGACGGCGACGGTCGACCCGCGAGGTCGTCGCGTGACGTGCGACGAACTGCGTCAGGCAACGCGACCGACCGTCGCAGTGATCGCGGCGAAAGTGACGGTAACTTCAGCATCACATCGAGCACTAAAGCCGAGTGGTCTTTTCCGAGTCAGACTCCTTCCGATCACTCACTTTTTCCATCGCAACCCACGTGTGACAGAAGTAGAATGTTCAAGATCGCATGGCAGAGAAGAGGTGCATTGGGGGGGGGCAACCATTGGCAGGGCAGCAATGGAGCGCATTCTAGAGTCTAACAAGTCAGCTTGCGTTAATCCCATGCCCGCGCCTCTCTCTACCCCAGTCCCCCCCCTGCCTTTGCTCAGCTCGCTGCCGCACTGCCATGGGCTGCTGTCGCCATACGCCTCTTCTCTGCCCTGCAGTTCCCAATTCCTCCCATCACTCGCTACCTCCATTATGCTCAGCTGCTTTTGAGCTGCTTTGCCCTCGTACTCTTGAATTCTCCTTCCAATGCTTTCAGTTCCCTTCTGTTGCTTTCAGTTTTCTTTAGATCAACTCCCTTCAGTGGCTTTCATTTCCATTCAGTTGCTTTCATTTCCCTTCAGTTGCCTTCAGTACCCTTCTGTTGTTTTCATTTTCCTTCTTTTGCTTTCATTTTCCTTCAATTGCTTTCATTTCCCTTCAGTTGCCTTCAATCCCCTTCAGTTGCTTTCATTCCATTCCGTGGTGCCCTCTTGCTCTCCAATTCTATTATCACTCTCCTGTGTTCCAGGACAATGGAGAATGCAGTTGACTATATCAGCAGTTTCAGAAACAGCAGCAGCAGCAGCAGCAGCAGCAGCAGCAGCAGCAGCAGCAGCAGCAGCAGCAGCAGCAGCAGCAGCAGCAGCAGCAGCAGCAACAACTAACACCATCACCACCACCCCACCAGCTTTCTACTCTTCAGTCTCTGCTCTGGTAGGTCACATTCTGTTGACTAGTGGCTATGCCCTTTCGACTCTGCTTCTGGCTATGGTGTGACTGCTACCTCCTCATTTTATTCCCCACTCCCCCTCCTGCTCTCCTTCCTCTCTCACTCATTTCCTGTTATTGCCTGGATGTAGTGCCGTATTTAGAATCCAACGGGGATGTAGCTCAGATGGTAGAGCGCTCGCTTAGCATGCGAGAGGTACGGGGATCGATACCCCGCATCTCCATTGGTTGCGGGGATAGCTCAGTTGGGAGAGCGTCAGACTGAAGATCTGAAGGTCGCGTGTTCGATCCACGCTCACCGCATGTTTTGCCATTTGTGTGTTTGACTCACAGCCCTTTGTGGGCCCTGTTACTCGATTCTCTCACACACCCTTGTCCCTCTCTCTCTCTCTTCACTCATAGACCCTTGCTCCCCTTTTGCTCTCTTCACTCACAGACCCTTGCTCCCCTTTTGCTCTCTTCACTCACAGACCCTTGCTCCCCTTTTGCTCTCTTCACTCACAGACCCTTGCTCCCCTTTTGCTCTCTTCACTCACAGACTTCCCCTTTTGCTCTCTTCACTCACAGACCCTTGCTCCCCTTTTGCTCTCTTCACTCACAGACTTCCCCTTTTGCTCTCTTCACTCACAGACTTCCCCTTTTGCTCTCTTCACTCACAGACTTCCCCTTTTGCTCTCTTCACTCACAGACTTCCCCTTTTGCTCTCTTCACTCACAGACTTCCCCTTTTGCTCTCTTCACTCACAGACTTCCCCTTTTGCTCTCTTCACTCACAGACTTCCCCTTGCTCCCCTTCTACTCTCTTCATTCACAGACCCGTGTGCCTATGTTTGCTCGCTTCACTTACAAACCCTTGTGCCTCTTCTGGCTTGCTGACTCATGCTGCCGATCTCACTGCACGTGAGCAGCTCACGGCAGTGGAGGTTGCTGGTGCTTACTCTGCCACAGCCTCGGTGCAGCCATGGCCTTGGCGTTGGTGCAGCCATGTGTGAGAGCAAGGCACGTGTGAGAGCAAGGCACGTGTGAGAGCAAGGCACGTGTGAGAGCAAGGCACGTGTGAGAGCAAGGCACGTGTGAGAGCAAGGCACGTGTGAGAGCAAGGCACGTGTGAGAGCAAGGCACGTGTGAGAGCAAGGCACGTGTGAGAGCAAGGCACGTGTGAGAGCAAGGCACGTGTGAGAGCAAGGCACGTGTGAGAGCAAGGCACGTGTGAGAGCAAGGCACGTGTGAGAGCAAGGCACGTGTGAGAGCAAGGCACGTGTGAGAGCAAGGCACGTGTGAGAGCAAGGCACGTGTGAGAGCAAGGCACGTGTGAGAGCAAGGCACGTGTGAGAGCAAGGCACGTGTGAGAGCAAGGCACGTGTGAGAGCAAGGCACGTGTGAGAGCAAGGCACGTGTGAGAGCAAGGCACGTGTGAGAGCAAGGCACGTGTGAGAGCAAGGCACGTGTGAGAGCAAGGCACGTGTGAGAGCAAGGCACGTGTGAGAGCAAGGCACGTGTGAGTGCAAGGCACGTGTGAGTGCAAGGCACGTGTGAGAGCAAGGCACGTGTGAGAGCAAGGCACGTGTGAGAGCAAGGCACGTGTGAGAGCAAGGCACGTGTGAGAGCAAGGCACGTGTGAGAGCAAGGCACGTGTGAGAGCAAGGCACGTGTGAGAGCAAGGCACGTGTGAGTGCAAGACATGTGTGAGAGCAAGGCATGTGTGAGTGCAAGGCATGTGTGAGAGCAAGGCATGTGTGAGAGCAAGGTGTCAGAATCACTAGGCAGGAATGAGGAATGACTAGGAACAAGGAGATATAAGTATGAAACCCTAATTAGGGTTGTACTCTATACTGAGCACCTCATTGTAGCCTAGCAAAACTAACAACATATAAATATGTTTTGACACAAGGCATGTGTGAGAGCAAGACATGTGTGAGCACAAG